CATGTCCTACCTTCCAGAAAGTGGTCGCTTTTCTGTTCAGAGTGTTGTTACTATTCTTCGATCTCCTGTTGAGTTCGTAGGTGTTCACAATGGTTTGATCCCTATTCAGCTGAATTCCTGAGACCAGACGAAATCCAGGTCTCCTACTCCTCTGCCATCTTGCTCCGCCTCCTCCAGTTCAGGCCCAGGTAATTTTTTAAAGGGATTTTTGCTAAAATGAGTATGACTCTTTTGTAAAACATCCAATTATGAAAAGTTGTAGAGAAGAGTAGATTTGGTGTTTACTGAGAAATCTTAGAGACTTTTTGTACAGATTAATCAAGAGATATTTTTAATATTTTATCAATTCCCATTTATCCAAGAAAAATGCAGAAATCCTGAACTAATAATAACATGGAAAACATGTCTCTGGGAGTAAGTGAGAAAGAAGCCCTAAGAATTTGAATGGTTCTCAATCTCAGCTTTATGTAAGAATCATCTGGGGAATCTTGAGAACAGTAATGCCTGGGCTTCACTCCAAACTAATTAAAGTAGAATCCAATTATTTTAAAGCTCCTCAGGTAATACTAATGTGCAGATGGGTTGAAAACTACTACTCTGAAAGCAAAGCTCAGCTACAAATAAATCTGGGCAGATTTCACCAATTAGGTGACCACAGCACCAGATTGAGAGTTGCTATGATATTCAGCAAACCATGGAAAAAATGGAACGAACAGATGTTTGTGCTGGGCAGCAAGATTAGAGGAGCACATAAGCTTATGTAAGCTTATCTGAGCAGAGACTCAAAGGATGGTCCCTGGACCAGGAGCACCAGCATTACCTGGAGACTTACTAGACATGCAAATGATCACGCCCCAGCCAGACCTACTGAATCAAAAACTCTGCAGGTGCAGCCCAGCAATCTGTGTTTTAAGGAGCCCTCCATGTTTGAGACCCACTGGGCTAGAGCAGTGCATCTTTATCTTTAGGGCTCACGGGAATCACCGAGGGGATCTTGTTAATTGCAGCTTCTGTCTGGGAGAAGGGTCAGACATTCTGCATTTCCAACAAGTTCTGGGGTGATAGGATGCTGCTAGATGGAAGACCACCCTTTGAATAGCAAAGGGGCTAAAGGTCAAAAATGAAAGAAGCCTGCAGTGACCAGAAAGTGACTGGTCCAGGTGGGAGCAGTTATGACATAAAGTTTAGGCTAAGCTGAGAGCTGTGTGAATTAGATCTGACATCTTGGCTCGGTGCAGGAGCAAGATTTGCAAGCACTGGTGGAGACTGGTATCCTAAATTATAATTACCATAACTTATAAGACCAGGAACTGCATTTCAAGATATGGAGGAACTGAATCTATCCAGTATAACCAATGAAACCAGGATATCATTATTGATATGAGAAACTTTCAGTCTTATGCTCTGTTATTTAAGCAATCATTTTGTTATAGCTAAAGAGGACTCACTGCAAGAATGGGTTGCTTCCTGGAAGAAGAATGCCCCCCTCCTGAATACCCCACAGACATCTAAAACTTAATACATCCAAAATAAAACAGCTTTTCTCACTCTAATCCTCTTATCCACCCCAATCTGCCTTGCATCATATGTTCTCCTAAGTACAAAGTGTCATAATGCAGCTAGTTACCAAGCCTGGAAGATGCAAGTCATTCTATGTTCAGAACAGGGTGGTGGTGATACAGAGCATAGGCTCTGAAATTGGACTGCTAGAATTTAAATCCAGCTTGGACCACATATCTGTGTGACCTTGGGCAAGTTATTTAACCTCACTGAGATGGACTTTTCATCTGTAAAACTGCACTGAACACACTGAATGGTCACACAGAAAAAATGAGGTAAGAACAGTGTCCCCCCTCCCACCATCACCAATGTATGACTGAAATTCTATTAATTCTACACCTTATTATTTTTTTTGTCTGGATTCTCCTCTGCATTTCTGATGCCTAGAAAAATTATACAGCATAATGCACATACAGAATGCCAGTGAAAAACCAAGTATGACATATTCAGGCTACCCTTTGTAAGGACACAGAGAAACTGACTTACTTGATTTTCTAGGTGGACTTCTTTTGGAGTCTATTGGTCTAAAGTTTGAAATAAATCCTGACATTAATTTGGGGCAATGTAATAGAATTCAAGACAAGTCTTTCTTTAAAAATTCAGAATTGTAATTAGTACCTAATTACCATCTGTAATAGTAAGATATTTTAATAAATATTTTTTAAACGATGAATATTCACAATGCTGATCAAGTATGTTGTAACTCATAAGCCCTATGAAACATACCTGTGTTTGACAAAGCTTACATTTAATACAGATTACATAATCTAAGAAAAATCTACAGTAATGCTTTAAAACTCCAAACTGAAAGTCTGAGGTAGTTAGGATGGTTACCTTTTTGCTTTTTTAATTCTGTATGAATTATCTTCTGTGATCCTGGGTACTTTCTTAGATATGGATGGAACAATGGCCTCTTCAAATTCTAAGTGAAAGTCAAACGTCAAGGGTTTAACTGAAGTATTTTTCTTTCCTTGACTCTGAAGGCTGTTTTTCTGCAGGAAAGCCAAAGTACAACATCATGAAAAAATGAGCACTTTTCATATAGGGAAAATCCTGTGTGGAAAGGAGTGAAATTAGCCTCACTTTATGCACACACACAGAATTTATGTGCTAGTCAATAATGGAGAAATATTACAGATTGAAAACTAGGGGCCTTGTGTACCAACATTTTTTAGGCTGTTGTTGTGTGTCCTGAGCTGCTCTTTTCCCATTCATGAAATGAAGGAACTCTGGACTAGATGATCATGAAGGCTCCCTTGTAATTCTAAAATTTAGAATTGAAGAATGACCTATAAATTAAGCAAAGACAATCCTCATACCAGAGTTATTGGAAGGAGAGCAGCATGGTCTCCAACCTGCTGCTCTCACTGACCCCACGAACGTGGTGAATCACTCCAACATTTGTCTAGTTGCATGAGCCAGAAATAGAGTTAAGAAAGCAATCAAAAGACTTTGTTCAAATATTTATAGAGATGGCCAAAGAAAGAAAAGGATATAGCTTAACGAGTTAGTTAAGGAGCCAAAAATCTTTTCTAAAAAAATCTTTCAGCACTGCACAGAGGAATAAAGTGATGAAAAATGTGAAAGCAAGTCAAAGGATAAGAACTTCTGTTTCTGCCAATGAAGGATTAAGCACTACAGGAATTGCCCACCTGCTGTAAATAACTAGAAAACCAAACAAAACATAGGAAAACAACTGTAATCAGGCATTAGAAAGTAGGCGGGGGTGGGGTGGGGTGGGAGAACCATAATCCCCAAGAAAAGGGAAACAAATGAGGTAAATCCCACAATAGCTCAGCCTACTTATTGGAGGCAGTTTCCACACTGAGATGCAAGGGAGGGGGAGTCACTTCAAACCCTGGGCCTTAACCTTGTTGATTTTAAGAGACAGAAATTGCACCAACAATTACATTCTTGGGCGTTCACCCCAGAGAAATGAAAACTTACGTTCACACAAAAACCTGTACACAAATATTCAGAGGAGCTCTCTTTAATCTTTTTTTAAAAGCAGCTTTATTTTTAAAAGCAAAATAGTGAAAACAACCCAAATGTCCTTCAATGGGTAAGTGGTTGAAACTCTGTACATCCATATAATGGCATACCACTCAGCAATAAAATTTATATATTATTTATAATAATAAAGCTATTGATCCATGCAAAAACTTAGATGAGCCTAAAGGGCATTATGGCTTGTGCACAAGCAGGGGTAGTGGAAGAGGGAGAAGCAGGCTCCCCACTGAGCAGGGAGCCCTATGTGGGGCTCGATCCCAGGAACCAGGGATCATGACCTGAGCCAAAGTCAGATGCTTAACCAAATGGACCATTCAGGTGCCTCTCTTTAAGTATAATTTTTATATATATCTGTATGTTGCTTATTTCCAAAAGCATGTTTTAATTTTATACTTTAAAAAATAAGAAAGTTTTAGATTTTGATTATATATATTCTCAAAAGAATTTCCAGAGAATCCTCTCTCAGTAACACATAAAGTAGGCATAATAACACAAAATCAGACAATGCATTGAAATGCTTTGCACAAAGGAAACTCTTAGTAAAAGGTAAGAATTATTATGATCAATCATATATAAAAGGGAATTCCAGGACAAATTAAATAGATTTAGCTCTGATTATATTTTCTAAAGTACATTTCATTTTAAACAAAAAATTAAAATGGAATGAATTTAGGGTGCTTAAGTCCAATATGGTTGCTTTAGTAAGTTACTCCTGGTTTGCTATTTCAAAATTTGGGTAACGATAACAGAATGAATTTATTGTTTTTTCCAGTATTTCCCTACTTTATTTTCTGAATAAAAGGAGACAATTATGGGGAAAAAAAGAAAATCAAATTATTATTCAAGCATCAGAATTTTCATTTTCAGGCTCACAAGTATGTTCAGGCACTTTAGAGCTCCTCTCTGTGCTATTTTCCTTGATTTCTTGGACTCTACGCTCTTTATGCCTCACTCACTCACATTGTTATATTATTTTGCAAGTTTTTGTGTAACCAAATTAAATTGCTCATATGTGCTAAGAATCTTTTTTTTCTTAAAGATTTTATTTATTTGTCAGAGAGAGATAGAGAGAGAGAGAGCACAAGCAGGAGGAAGGGCAGGCAGAGGGAGAAGCTGGCTCCCCAGTGAGCAAGGAGCCCCATGCGGGACTCCATCCCAGAACCCTGGGATCATGACCTGAGCTGAAGACAGACGCCCAACCAACTAAGCCACCCAGGCGTCCCAAAAATCTGGTTTTTAAAACTATATTTTTTGGGGGGATGCCTGGGTGGCTCAGTCGTTAAGCATCTGCCTTAGGCTCCCTGCTCGGTGGGAAGCCTGCTTCTCCCTCTCCCACTCCCCCTGCTTGTGTTCCCTCTCTCACTGTGTCTCTCTCTGTCAAGTAAATAAATAAATCTTAAAAAAAATAAACCTATATTCTTTTTTTTAAGATTTATTTATTTATTTGGGGGAGAGAGAGAGCACATAAGGGGGGAGGGGCAGGGGCAGAGGCAGAGGGAGAGGGGAAGCAGACTCCTGCTGAGCAGGAAGCCAGATGCAGGGCTCCATCCACGACCCAGGGGTCATGACCTGAGCTGAAACCAAGAGTCTGACGCTCCATCAACTGAGCTACCCAGGCTCCGCAAAAACTATATTCTTTATTAGTATTTTATATTGAATTTTATAAAAGTTTCACCTTTTTTACTTTAAATTTTATGACCTTTATTTTTAATTTGGGTAACTATACCAAATATTTTCTTCCTTTTAATAAACCAATTAAATAAATTTTTATATGTTTAAAATATTAGTGAGAACTACAGTAGTCACATTTACTATTTGACTGCCTATTTGATTTTTTTATCTTAATCACTTTTTTTTAAAGATTTTATTTATTTATTTGAGAGAGAGAATGAGAGAGAGAGAGAGAGCACATGAGAGGGGGGAGGGTCAGAGGGAGAAGCAGACTCCCCACCGAGCAGGGAGCCCGATGCGGGACAAAATCCCGGGACTCCAGGATCATGACCTGAGCCGAAGGCAGTCGCTTAACCAACTGAGCCACCCAGGCGCCCCATCTTAATCACTTTAGGTACATTATAACCTAATGTAATATGGCAGCTATCCAATAGCCAAAATATGGAAAGAGCCCAAATGTCCATCAACTGATGAATGGATACACACAGCCATCAAAAAGAATGAAATCTTGCCATTTGCAATGATGTGAATGGAGCTAGAGTGAACATTATGTTAAGCAAAATAAATCGGTCAGAAAAAGACAAATACCATATGATTTCACTCATATGTGGAATTTAAGAAACAAAACAGATGAACATAAGGGAAGGGAAGGAAAAAAAAATTAGAGGAAAACAGGGAGGCAAACCATAAGAGACTCAACTTTAGGAAACAGACTGAGGGTTGCTGGAGGGGAGGTGGTTGGGGGGATGGGGTAACTGGGTGATGGACATTAAAGAGGACACTTGTAATGAGCATTGGGTGTTATATGCAACTGATGAATCACTGAACTGTACCCTGAAACTAATGATACACTGTATGTTAACTAACCTGAATTTAAATAAAATCTTGAAAGAAAAAAATAAGGCAGCTATCCAGAAATTACCTTGTATATCTAATTAATTCTTTATAGTATACGCTTACATGGACTACTTTTTGAACTAATATAATTATTTGCTTTTTACAAATTAGTTTATATTTCCATATGAATGCATCATTAACTAAAAAGTAAAAATCATTCACATTTGAAATGATTAAATTTCAATGATTAAATTTAATTTTAGCTTTCATTTACAAACCTTTGCTCTTCTGGCCAAGAGTATCTTTGCCTGTTCATCCAGAATATCGAACTTCTCTAAGATTTTTTCTGCCATTTTCAGTCAGTAAATTCCTATTTAAAATGGAGAAAAGAGAAGAAATCTCCCAAACAATTAAAATTTAAACATATAATTTGATTATTTAGGCATAAGAGACCCACATTTACATTACTGTTTGAGGTACAAAAGAGAACTGTATAGATCATGGAATCAATCATGGGATTATAGAGGTATCCAAGTTTTTTTTAGACAGAAGGTCACATGATCAGAACTCCCAGATGTGTGTGGACCTTAGGGATGTTTAAATGTATGATGTGACTCACTTGAAGCAAGGGCATTTGGCTTTATTTATACCTATTTTCTTTTTGTTGTGATATAATTTTAATGAAAGTAAATGTGAAGAGTTCACATTTGTATAATTAATTGCATTCAAATTAAATTGGTCAATGATCCAAGACTGTTAATACAGCACTTAGAAAGTGGCCAAGCTGGTTGAGTCCTATTGCCCTAATAACTCAAATTCTCTAGTCAATTAATATTGCTAAAAATTAGATCTGGGGTCAGGCAGTCCATATTAGGCTTGGGGGCCTGAATGTTAGACATTAGGACATAAAGTACCTTTTCAATGCACTACAAATAGCTAGGAGCAGAGTAGAGGCAAATATCAGAATGTTAACCCAAAGCTCCATCTAGATTTTTGCTCAGTGAATTGAATGTGCTCCAGTGGCATTTAAATGTAAACATGGTATGGTTCACAGAAAGTACTGAATTCATCAATATTTCCAAGGAACATCAACGTCAACACGAAGGTTCTTTCTAGCTCAAAAATATCTATGCTATTTCTCTCATATTGTATATCATTCAATCAGTATCTCCCAAAACAATAATGCATGAAAAGACAAGGATTAAGGATTCTATGCCAAAAGCTCACATTATTTAGTACTTGGTTTCTTTTAGCAGTCTTTTCTACTCTTGGACTCTTCTGGGCCATGTGGCTGCAGGCAGATTGTTTGCCTTGTTACAAACCATATAACCTGAAGTTGCAGACTGGAGAGGGGATATGTAAGCAAGTGTGTAAGCATAACTATGAGTACCTCAGACTTTCTGGGTCTCCTATTGAAGAGTACGGGACAGATTTTAGAAGAGAATATAGATTATCTAGACACTGTGTGTTGTCTTTTCCAAGCCAAGAACCAGTCCTCTCATACATACTAAAAACAACTAAAGGAATTGTAGTTTCTGTTTTTTTCTTAAGCATAATATGATTCAAGGGGGTGGAGAAGGCTCCCATATTTCTCACCAAAATTTCTTTAATTGGGGACAAAGATTTCATTTTCTCAATAAGGGATAGAAATGCAAATAAGTGTAAGAACAAGAATATTGAAGTGAATGGGTTTCCCAGTTTGAGGAAGGGATAAATTACACAAAGGACAACCGAGGCACAAAGCTTACTTGTGAGAGGGAACAGAAAGCAGGTCTTTTTTTTTTAGAAAGCAGGTCTTTTTAAAGGATAAGATGTCCTGCACCTCTCACTTGTCACGCATCTTCAACATCACATCAGACATTTTAGGATGCACCATATCATCACATTTTACACACACATACACACACACACAGAGCGGTAATTTGAAGGAATTGTTTTTTATTTAAAATTATTTTTCTATAGTAAATTACTTAGCTATGATATGATTTCTAGCAAATCACTGTGCATATCGTAAGGTTTTCTTGAAGTGAGAAAACCTAAGCAACAAATTATTTTTAAATGTCAATGACAGTTTTATGAATACTAAATTTGACTGTTAATGAAACTGACAGAATGTTATTAATTTTAGTTTTGTAGTTTTATTTTGTAGTTCATATTTTGAAGCCTATACTTTTTTTCAGTTTGCAAATGTTTTCATAGGTCTTTGGCAGTGTGCCAGTGGTTTCTAATGGATAAATGGCCCTGGGACAAAGTGGAGGTGAGGAAACACTACAGACTAACTTGCTTACTTTCATCATTATACCAAGGGTACCAAGGGCTTAGCTGTATCTCTTCAAATAAACACTGACAGCAAAGTAACATCGGGCAGGTCTACTACAATGGTGTATCCGAACTGCTCTGCATAAACTAAAAACTAATCCTTTAATGCAAAATACTGTATTACGTGTTCCTCAATATGACTTTCTGTGTTTCAGTCCTTTCTTGATTCAATCTTTTTCATTTTAATGTCTACTTTAAACCAGCATATTGATTTCAAACTTCTACTTCATACTTCTATTTCTATGAGCACATATTCTACTTCATTATTCTATTTCTAAGCATATATTATCATCAGATGGTAAACATTTAATTGTTCATTTCTTCATTTGGCTACTTAACTGTATTACATGAGCGATATTGTGCTAGGCATTCCACCAAATCTACTGAGGAAGTTGGCACCTGGCAGACATTATCTTCCTGAGCAACGCAGATGGGCTCCCCTCTATCACTAAGAAAACAAAGGCCATCAGTCTCCTAGGTGGCTCAGTCAGTTAAACTGGCTCAGGTCATGATCTCAGGGTTGTGAGATCAAGCCTCATGTGGGCTCCATGCTCAGCAGTTTCTGCTTGAGATTCTCCCTCTGCTCCTCCCCCACGCCCTGCTTGCAAGCACCTCTCTCTCTCTAAAATAATAAAATAAATAAATAAAATCTTAAAAAAAAAGAAAGAAAGAAAACAGAGACCATCAAGTAAGAACATCTTCAACTTCTCTCTCTCTCATGCCCAAGTCTTATCTGCATCTATTCCCATCTCACTTATATTTTAGTTTTAATGGAAGTGTTGCCTCTCCCATCCATAGCTAATCCCTCCCAGGATACTCTAGACTCTATTACCTCTGTCTTCCTAAAAGAATTACTTCCATTGGTTGCACCCTCTCTCTGGTATCTGTCAATATCTTTTCTTCACCAATTTCTTCTCCTTAGCACGTTCACACCTCTTCTAGTTTTAAAAAAGAAAAAAATTCTTCCCCTCACCCTACTAGCTGTTATTCTCTCTCATCTTCCCTGATTGACACATTTCTTAAAATGCTCATCTTTACTTAGGGTTTCTAATTTCTTACATTTCTTTTCCTTCTTAATTTACCATCATTTGGCTTCCTTCTATACTCTGGTACTAAATCTACTCTCATAGGCTACCAGGGTCACCATCTTATAAATTAGTGAGCCCTTTTCTGCTCTTATTTACCTTATTTGAATGTCTACAACTCTTTTTTTTTTTAAAGATTTTATTTATCTTTGACAGAGACAGAGTGTGAACAAGCAGGGGAAGCAGCAGGCAGAGGGAGAAGCAGGCTCCCTGCTTGGCAGGGAGCCCGATGTGGGGCTCAATCCCAGGACCATGGGATCATGACCTGAGCCGAAGGCAGACGCTTAACCGTCTGAGCCACCCAGGTGCCCCTGTCTACAACTCTTATTCATGTTGACCACTCCTTTCTATGGAAACTGCCCTCTCTTGGTTTCTATCACAACAGTCACATCTTCTTACTCTCTGAAGATTCTTTCTTCCTTCAATCACTTCCTAAATACTTGTGAGAGGGAAGTGTTCCTCATCCTTAGTGTTTCTAAAGGCTCAGGCCATCTTTTTCATTATTCCATACATTCTTTGGGATGACCTCCCAAACTCATAGCTTCATCTGCCACCATCTGGTTTCAAACAAAATCTCTGAGTTCCAAACCCACATTCCTAGCTCAACCCACATTTCCCACAGGTAGCCCAAATTAGATCTAAATGTAAACTTGTCCACATCCTCCTCCGTCAACCAAAAGCCTCTTTCAACCTTTATTATCACATTAGTTATCTCTTAGACATCCAGCCCATAAATTTAGGCATTGTAATAACAATCCTTGTTACTGCAGAATGAACTCAGAAATTTCCAAGGAATACAGATGTCCAGTTGCTACCCCAGGCCTGCTAAGTCAGGATTTACAGAGGTGAAGAGAAGGAATCTGTTTTTTAAAGCCATACTGATGCAGCTATTCCCCAAACCGGGATTTGGTCACCACTCTGCTGGAAAACTCCCTCTCATCCCCTCCCTAAATATACACAATCTTTATCTTGTCTTTGCTACATCTTACACACCCTCTCAGTTTTTCTCCTCTTATCCATTCACATTGCTATTGTTTCTGTTTAGGGTTCCATAACTTCCTGCCTGGATTATTGCCATAGTTTCAAAATATGTCTATACATTTGATCCATTCTATCTTCCATTCTGTCCTTCACATTTGTCTGACTTACTTTCTCAGGAAACACACACACACACACACACACACACACACCCCACACATCCCTAATTAAGGCTTCAGTCTCTCCCTACAGCTTTCAGGACAAAGGGTCAAGTTCCTTGATTTATCGTGTAAGAATCATGATTTGGCCTCCAAGTCTTTAACCTCATCTGCTTCTTCTTCATGTATACATGATACCCTAGTCCTAAGGAACAACTTGCAGTTCCTCCAATGTGTTGTATTCTTCTTTACTTGTTGCTTGGCTTCCGCTGTTCCCTCTGCCTTCAAAGTTGTTCTTCCATTCCTTTTATTTCTAAGGTCTATTCATCCTTCAAGACCCAACACAAATAACACCTCTGTGGGGAAGGCTTCTCTGATACACTGTGATTTATTTATTTATTTATTTTATTATGTTATGTTAGTCACCATACATCATTAGTTTTTGATGTAGTGATCCACGATCCATTGTTTTTGTATAACACCCAGTGCTCCATGCAGTACGTGCCCTCCTTAATACCCATCACCGGGCTAACCCATCCCCCC